TATTTATTCCTTCCTTTCATCTTCCCTTTCTCCCTTCCTTCCCTCTCTATTCCTTCCTTCCTTAGTCCCTTCTTCCCCTCTCCTAGCAAATAATGGGTTCGCTTAATGACCACTTCATTTATGACCAACGCGTTCGCTTTACTGACATGCAGAAGCTTGAAAAGCTGGGCGCGGTCACACGATGATCCTCTTTTTACGACCGCCCTGATTAAAAAAAAAAAAAAAGCTGCGGGTTCAACTACTAAATCCTAAATGGAGGGTTCTCTGTACACGGGGTTGGACTAGATGACCTCCAAGGTATCTTCCAATTCTTGTTATTCCACGATTCCACAATCCTTCCTCTCTGCATGAATCTGAGAAAGCTTGAGGACTAGCCCCTTTTCACTGGCTTGAGTAGAGAGAAAGGGGCTTAGAAGCCCCGAGTCCAACCCTCCCCCGCTTTGCCCAAACCCGCTAATAATCCCCAGTTATTTGCGCCTTATCCGAATTAGAAAATTTGAAAACCCCAAATCTACCCGCCACGGTCATTGCCAAAACTATATACAGTCTAAAAAAACAACAACCACCCAGCATCAAAACCACAGAAATGTCCCCACTGATTGTTGGTTTAGGGCAGAGGCAATAAGACCGCCCCCTCTCTCCGGAAGTTGCTCCCTTTGCAAAGACAGGGGTCAGGCTGGATGACCTCTCAGGCCCCAACTCTGTAAACTCAATCCCCCCCCCACTACGTCCCGTCCTTTTAAATCCTTGAACCCCCTCCAAGAGTCTGTCCCATCCAGCAAATCCCACTCCCCCTTTTTGGGGGGGGGCGGATCCGACACGCTTGATAAAAGCAGCCATAATTTTAATTCCTCATCTTCTCCTGCCGAGCCAACAGCGCACCGAAGTTCTCCTCCCCGCTGCCATTCCCACAACCCAAATGATAGCTAGGATTGGCTGGGAAGATTGACCTCTCCGATCCCACTCCTCCTTTTTAAAAAAACCATTTCTCTCTCCTCCTGTCCAGCTTTTGAATGCAATTCTTGGTCTCCCCAGGAGGGGGCTAACGTCCCGGACAATACCGACGCAATGCGGCGCTGAGTGAGTCCTTCACTTGGCCATTTCAACCAAAGTCACATCTCCTCTTCCTCCTCCTCCTCTTTCCCCCTCCTCAAATCGGCCCACTGGAGCATTTCACTTCCTTTTCTGCCATTCCCCCAAATTCTCATTATTATTTTTTCCGAGCCAAAAACGGATGCTGAATTTTTTTTGCAAGAGATTACGAAGTGACCCAAAACTGCATCCCAAGTTGGTTCTAAAACCTCTTTTTTTTCCCCCCCCGCAGGCTGTTCCTTTTGCACTTCTTTCCTTTATTTATTTTTTTGCAAACTCTTAAAATTCAATCACTGGAAAAAGGAGACCCCTCCCTTTTCTGTCTCCCACCCACCTCAAGGTCTGTGGGGATGTTCGGAGCACAACTTCCAAGTTGTTAAAAAAATCATCATCGCAATAGTAATAGTAATAGTAATAGTAATAATAATAATAATAATAATAATAATAATAATAATAATGATAATGATAATAATAATAATAATAATTCACCAATTTTGTCTTTCACCTCCAGCCCCTGAAAATCACCAAGTTAAATGGACAAACGGGGAACTTCGCATGGATTTTGGATTGCTGGGGGGTTTTTTTCCGCCAAAGAAGAGATTTTTCGCTCAACCCTCTGGATAAACTGCCAGCGTCCTCATCAGGAAAATCGAGTTTTTCTGACCAAGCCAGCAAGGAGGAGGAAAGGAGCGATCGTCCCAAATGCAAGCAGCCGTTTTTCCAAAAATAGGACATGCTATCATGCCACTCGGGCGAAGCCGGTGTTAATCCAGGCGTGGTTCTTGGGTCAATAAACCGTAATTAATCCAGCCAGTTTAGAGGTGGCGAAGTCAGGTACACCTTTATTTAAATACCTTTTCCAGGGTAGCAGGAGGATTGAAAACACACACACACACACTGGAGGAGGGGATGGGAATAAAAATCTAATCGAAGAGGCAAGCTGTTTTCAGACACAACCTAACAGATAAGCAGAGTTGGAAGGGACCTTGTAGGTCATCTAGTCCAACCCGCCCTGCCCGAGCGGGAGACCCTACGCCATTTCTGACAAATGGCAGTCCAATCTAGGGAGATATTTATCATCCTAGAATCTCTAAGGAAAATAAAAATCAACTAGATTTTGGGGGAATTCAGCTTTGCTTCACTTAGAATTAGTAAGATTTTCCAGGAGGGGGAGAAAATTTATTTTAAAGCTTCTTCCTCTTTTCCTCATTTTCTTTTGAAATAAGCTGCTGGTGTGTCTCTCTCTGCCTTCATCAAAAGTTAAAGCAAGCTCCCTCTTGATTGGTTGGTGATCCCAGTTCCCACGAGGCTTTGCCGCAGGGCCAGTGGCTGGGGATGATGGGCCCACGGAGGGCTTGAAGTTGCTGGTTTTAATTTGGGATGGGAAGAAAGGACTCTTAAATGGGCTTTTATCCCTTTCCACAATTTATCAGATCTGGAGGGGAAGACAGAGGCGGTGTTGTCCAGGGCCATGCAAAATCCTAATTTAATTTTATTTTGGGGGGGTGGGGAGGGACAATCTTTCCTTTCCACCCCCATCTTTGCTTTTTCTCACGCCTGTGGCTCCCTCCACCAATTCACGCCCTCCCTCCAAAGCAGGCCTACCTACATGTGGTGCAAATGCAGCTCAGATAGAAAACATGCTGTGCAGAATCAGGAAGCGGAGTCTGTGGAGCTGACCCCGGCTTGTTATAGTTGCAGGCAAGGAAATTTGGGGGTGGGAGGTTTGGACCCCAGGAAAAGAGCAAGCAATAAAGTCCTTGTATTATATATATATATAATATATATATATCCCTTGCTTGATCCGCAAAGCATTGCTACAACTGAAAAAAGAACGGAGAGAAAGAGAGGTGATAGACAGACAGACAGAGGATAGACAGATATAGAGATGAGTGATAGAGATAGATATAGAGATGATAAGAGAGGTGATTGATAGGTTAGATAAGATTGAGAGATAAATGATAGAGGTATAGATGATAGAGGTATAGATGATAGATAAATGATAGAGGTGTAGAGATATAGATAATAGATAGATGATAGAGGTAGGTAGGTAGGTAGATAGACAGACAGAGACAGACAGACAGACAGACAGACAGACAGATAGATAGATGATATAGGTGTAGTGATAGATAGATAATAGATAGATGATAGAGATAGATAGATAGATAGATAGATAGATAGATAGATAGATAGATAGA